CCTACATAGAAAACACTTTGTTACCTAAGTTCACATAAATAAAGGGTTTAAAAATTTCAAATTATTTGGGAGGAAAGTACCTGCAGAATTATAGCATTCGTTTTTATTTTACGGTTGAAGGTAATTAAATATTGTTTACAAGAGTATATTTTGTTTCCCAAGTTTAAATCGACTGGGCAAAGGCAGTCCTGCCCGACTACCGCAAGCCGGAGGAGAAGCAGCCGCAGGCGCCCTCCAGTAAGCGCAATAGATCGGGGGAAAATACGCCCAACCAATACGCAAAGAGGGTCAGAACGCAGGGGCCTTCTTTTGCTGAAGTAGCCAAGGAGCAGATCCTGCTCGGCGTCATCGATGAGAGCAATGAAGACAGCCTCACCCTGAGGCAGCAATGGAAGTGGGTTAAGGCCGCGATGGCCGACATTGCTATCAACATTATGTTGGAGAATCCGGGACCCCCGCCAACCTGCAAGGGAGCGGGGTGGTTCCAAAATAATATCCGCGTTATAGCATGCGAGGATGCTAGATCAGCGGAGATCTACAAGAAAACAGTCGCAGGTATTGGAGAAGTCTACCCTGGTGCGAAGCTCAGGGCGGTCGACTTCAAGGACCTACCGGTGCGACCGAGAGCGAGAGCATGGTTGCCTTGCAAGCCAGCGGAGCCAGAAAGGATCCTCCAAACCATAAGGCTCTATAACCCGGAGCTACCTACCGATAATTGGAAGGTGGTCAAAATCAACGAAAGCGGTAAAGCGACGATGCAGGTTGTCCTGCTTCTAAATAAGGACTCCATAGAGTTGTTGGAGCAAAAGAGCGGGGTCATACGTTACGGCTGTGACATGGCCAAAATTAAGGTCTACAGCAACGACGTAAACGCAGCGAAGAACCTGATCGCGGAGGTAGAGCCGGAAGAGGCCAACAGCGACGTGGAGATGGAGGAAGAATCCGAGCAGGTTGATCCGATGGACGACCTGACCGGGGGTTATGCCTCATCGACGTCTTCGCTGGGGGTCGGACGCATGCTTCGGCTTTATACGGAGGAGGAGCTGATCGAGATGTCGGAAGACGCGGTCAACTCCTCCCTAATAGGCGACGTGGGCGATAACGGCCAAGATGGTGAAGGTACTGCAGATTAACCTTCACCACTGTAAAGCAGCTTCAGCTGCACTGCTGCTCCGTCTAACAGCTAAAGGGGCAGCCGACATCGTCCTAATCCAAGAACCTTGGGTGGTGGGACAAAACATTTGTGGGCTGAAAGCGCCGGGCTACAGACTGGTAAGTGGAGCCTCAACGGGGAAACCAAGGACGTGCATATTGATAAGTATCACACTAAAGTGTCTCTTTCTTCCACAATTTAGCGACGAGGACACAACAGCGGTCAGTCTTAGTGCAAACGGACGACCAATTAAGATGGCATCCATGTACCTAGCGCATGACAAGGAGGTGCCAACTACCTGCATTAAAGACCTAGTGGCCAGCACGAGAGAGGCGCTAATTTTGGGAGGTGACGCGAATGCCCACCATCACACCTGGGGCAGCTCCGATGATAACGAACGGGGTGAGTCACTTTTTAATTTCATACTTAGTTCTCAGCTTGTTATTGCGAATAGGGGGAATGATCCCACTTTTATTACAAAATCCCGAAGGGAAGTTCTGGACGTTACCCTTATCTCTGAGAATGCGGAATGTCTGGTCGGGAAGTGGAAGGTGCTTGAGGAGCACTCCTTTTCCGACCACCGATATATCCAATTCGAGGTATTAGGGGAAACGCCCAAGGCTCCTCTAACTAGAAACTTGCGAAATGCCAACTGGCATAGGTATCGGAAAGAGCTGGATAGGCTTTTGCCACAAGATAGAGAGCCGGCTACTCCAGCAAACCTAGAGGAGCTGGAATATCTTGTCGACCATTTTACGGGGGCCTGCAGTAAGGCAATAGACATTGCATGCCCCAAAAAGCAGCACCGGGGTAGGAAAAAGCCACCCTGGTGGAATGAAGAAATCAGGATTTCACGCAAGAACTGCAGGAAAACCTTCAATCAGGCTACTGCGTCTGGTAGTGAGGGTCATTGGGAGACCTACAAGACAACGTTACGGGAGTACAAGAAGCTCCTAAGAAGGTCGAAAAGAACCTCATGGAAAGACTTCTGCAATGGGGTGGAGTCTATCTCAGAGGCAGGCAGGCTCAGAAAGATACTCTCAGGTACTGCCCAGAAAGCCCCAGGATGCTTGCAAAGACCTGACGGCTCCTGGACAGAGACCGAGGAGGAATCACTGGATCTGCTTCTTTGCACACACTTCCCGGGTGCCACGGATAGCATGCCGGTACAGCCACATCTAACTGGAGATCTTTCGGTCACTGGAGATTTCCTCACTAGGGAAAAGGTCATCTGGTCTATTGGGACATTTAAGCCCTATAAATCAGCAGGTCCGGATGGCATTGCCCCCATACAGCTGCAGCAAACACTTCAGCTAAGCTCAGCGTGGCTACACGCTATAATTAAGGGAGTATTAGCTCTTAACCATATCCCTATAAAGTGGAGGGAATCAAGAGTGGTGTTCATCCCCAAGGCAGGGAAGGTGTCTCACAATAACCCAAAGGATTTCAGGCCCATCACCTTGTCGTCATTTCAACTGAAGGTTATGGAGAGACTGGTGGAGGTCCGTATCAGAGAGTCGGTTGGTGACAGACTCTCTACCACACAACATGCTTATACGAAAGGTAGATCTACAGAAACGGCGCTACATGAAATAGTGTCGTATATAGAGAGATCACTAGACATCAAAGAATATACGCTAGCAGCCTTCCTGGATATAGAGGGCGCCTTTAACAACATCATGCCGGGCGCGATAACGGCAGCACTGGCGGGCCTGGGCATCGACTCGCGCTTAGTTGCGCTCGTAAACCAAATGCTGAGATGCAGGGTGGTCCGGGCGGAGCTGGCGGGGGTATCGTTGACCAGGTTCGTAGAGAGGGGCACCCCGCAAGGGGGAGTCCTATCCCCTCTATTATGGGTCGCAGCGGTAAACTCACTGCTGTGTGGCATGGAGGGGGGTGGCTGTAAGGTTATTGCGTATGCGGATGATCTTGCACTAACAGTAAGTGGGAAATTTCCACAGACTCTATGTGACATTATGCAGGTAAAACTGAAGGAAGTCGAGAGTTGGACAAAAAATAACGGGCTAGGGGTAAACCCAAGCAAGACAGAACTTGTACTGTTCACAAGAAGGTACAAAATCCCCCCATTGATAACACCAAGGCTGGCACAGACCACACTAAAATTAAGCGAATCCGCTAAATACCTGGGGATAGTCCTAGATAGAAAATTAAGCTGGATTCAAAACACCGAAGAGCGGGTGCGGAAGGCCACGGTTGCCCTATACAGCTGCAGGAGAGCAATCGGCCAAAAATGGGGTTTAACCCCGAAGCTAGTGCACTGGATATACACCGTCGTGGTGAGGCCCATACTTCTGTACGGGGTAGTGGTATGGTGGCCAGTGCTGGAGAAGAAAGTAAACATTATTAAATTAAAAAAAGTGGAGAGAACGGCCCTGATCTGCATTAGTGGTGCTCTCCGCACAACACCTACTATGGCAATGAACACGATCCTCAACATCATACCCATAGATATTATGGGACGACAATACGCTGCGTTTGCAGCCCTAAGACTACAGGGGCTTAAAAGCTGGAAAGTGGCTCGCTGTGGTCACACTACAATTCTGAGAAACCGACAACTACCGAGTACAAAGGACTACTGTGTACCAAGGCTCACTTTCACTAAAGGTTATAGCGTAACGCTACCTAGCAGGGAATCATGGCTCGAAGGAGTTCCGGAGTCTAGAGATGCCATAAGATTCTACACGGACGGCTCCACACTAGAAAATAGGGTAGGAGGAGGCGTCTACTCGGAGAAATTGGGAATAAAAAGTTCATTCCGACTACCTGACCACTGTAGTGTCTTTCAAGCCGAATTGGCAGCCATACAAGAAGCCGTTGACAGCCTAAAACTAGCTGCTATCGCCACTACGGAAATATATATATATACTCAGACAGTCAGGCGGCCCTTATGGCGCTTGACTCTGTGACTATAAATTCGGAAACAGTTGCCAACTGCCGCAAATCACTTAACGTGATGGCAGAGCAGTTCGCTTTGCACCTGGTATGGGTACCGGGGCACAGTAACATACCAGGAAATGAGAAGGCAGACGAGCTTGCAAGGGCGGGTACTTCCTCTCCACTTTCACCAGCCTGGAAGAGGGTGGGTATGCCACTCGCTTCCTGCAAGCTCTTACTAAGGGAGAACTTCCTTGAAGAAGCGGCCTTCAGATGGGAGCGCACTGAAAACTGTAATACAACGAAGCTTACATGGCCAAAATGGGATGTACGGAGATCGAGAGAAATTCTCACTCTCAACAAAGGCGATATGTCACTGGCCATTGGTCTGCTCACAGGACATATTTTGATAGGAAGGCACGCAGAACGCCTTGGGGTTAGTCACAACGACTACTGCAGGAGCTGCCACGACGAAGAAGAGCCTGAATCAATAAGGCACTTACTCTGCGATTGCCCAGCACTGGACAGGAAAAGACAGAAATTCCTAGGTATAGGTCTTCTAGACGATCTAAGCGCGACTGCTAAGTTTGGAATACGGCAGTTGCTAAGGTTTGCAGGCTCCACAAACTGGTTTAAGGAATAGGGGTTTTCTTTGGATCCATGTGGTATCACAATGGGCCCTGATCGGGCCTAAGTGTGCTGGCGCCCTCTGGGCCTAGCAGCCACTTCAACCTAACCTAACCTAACCTTCCCAAGTTTACCTAAACAATGGCTTCATAAATCTTGGGATTTTTCCACAACATTCTTGAAGAAAATACCTACGTACAAAGAAATTTTTCTGTATACACTAATTCAGATAAATAAGAGGTTGCGAAAGTCTACCGATTTTTTTTTAATTTATTGCAGGAAAAGTACCTGCAGAGAATATCTTCTGCTGTTTGCACACGTTTTAGCATAGATAAAATATATGGATTTTTAATCTTTTTAAGTGGAAAGTACCTTCGGAGAACATATTTATATTGTTTGCCTGAGTTACATAAATATAAGGTCGCATAGCTAATACATTCGCTCATAGCAAGTGTAGACACTGCGCAAACGATAGTGAATTCTTTTTCATCTGAGATCAGTTCAACATACAGAGTATTATTATTTACATTCACAAAAAAATAAAATCATGCCACCAAAGAAAGCATCAATTGGAAGAAAAAACCCCAAAACAAAAAAGTCGAATGAATACAGAGCGGCGGAAACGGAAGATCAACGAAATGTCCGGCTTCAACAAAATCGAAACCGAGAGACAAGCTCGAGAAATGTGGAAACGGAAAACCAGCGGGAATCTCGCCTCCAGCAAAATCGTGTGAGAGCTTCAACCTCCAGAGACGCTGAAACCCTGGAACAACGAGAATCTCGCCTACAACAAAATCGTGGAGAGCTTCAACCTCTAGAGACGCTGAAACCCTGGAACAACGAGAATCTCGCCTCCAGCAAAATCGTGTGAGAGCTTCAACCTCCAGAGACGCTGAAACCCTGGAACAACGAGAATCTCGCCTACAACAAAATCGTGTGAGAGCTTCAACCTCCAGAGATTCTGAAAATCCCGAACAACGCAACGAACGGCTTCGCACTAATCTATCACGATTGACCCATTCAAGAGAAAGAACACATTTAATGTTGGCCGCATACAATTATGACAAAAACAGAGACTACGAAAATCATGCAGATGTCGCCATTGGACCGATGAATAAAGTTTGTTTGCATTGCCATGCTTTGAAGTTTGCAAAGGAATCACCAGGAATGTGTTGTTCAAATGGTAAAATAGTTTTGCCATCGTTAATTGAGGCACCTGAATCACTACTTAGTTACCTTTCTGGCACAACTCCTATTTCAAACCACTTTTTGAAAAACATACGCAAGTACAACTCTTGCTTTCAAATGAATTCGTTTGGAGCAACGAAAATTATATCTGAAGGCGGTTACATGCCAACTTTCAAACTTCAAGGCCAAATATACCACAAAATCGGTTCATTGCTCGCAGTGCCACAACAAGATGCGAAATTTCTGCAAATTCATTTCACTGGAAATGATGCACTGGAAGTAGACAAGCGTTGCGCAATTAGTTCTGGGATCCGACGCGAGATCATTTCAAGCTTGCAGGCAATGTTCCATGAACAAAACAATTTGATTCGCCTTTTTAAAACAGCTCTGGAGCAAATGCCATCAGATGACTATAGTGTTGTTATTAGAGCAGATAAAGCTCCTGCTGGTGATCACAAAAGGCGCTTCAATGCTCCAGTAACAGGGGATGTTGCAATTGTAATAGTTGGCACCGAATTCGATCGACGTGACATCATTATCCACCGGCGAAATGCTAATGTGCAGAGAGTATCGGAAACACATGGATCGTATGATGCACTCCAATATCCAGTGCTCTTTCCCCATGGAGAAGAAGGATATCATTTCAACATCAGGCAAGTCGACCCCAGCACAAGTGAAGCGACGACAAAGAAAGTGTCCTGCATGGATTATTATGCAAACCGCATTATGATTCGTGGAAATGAATCCAATCATATCTTAAAATGTCATGAATTATTCCAACAGTTTATTGTGGACATGTACGCGAAAGTCGAAAGTGAACGTCTTCTTTTCATTCGCTTAAATCAAAAGAATCTGCGCGTTGAAGAATACGTTCATTTACGTGATGCAGTTGCTAATGATGGAAACATTGCTGACATTGGACAAATGGTAATTTTACCTGTAACATATGCAGGAAGCCCGCGGCACATGCACGAATACGGGCAAGATGCTATGACGTACGTTCGAAAATATGGACGACCAGACCTATTCATCACCTTCACTTGCAATCCATCGTGGAGTAAATAACCGAATTGCTTTTTGCAGCTCAGAGCTCATCGCACAGACATGATCTTCTCGCTCGAATATTCAAGCAAAAGCTAATAAGTCTTATGAATGTCATCACGAAGAATTTTGTTTTTGGAGAAACCAGATGCTGGATCTACTCAATTGAATGGCGAAAGAGAGGCTTACCACACGCTCACATTTTGATTTGGTTGAAGCAAAAAATTATACCTACACAAATTGATAGCGTTATATCAGCCGAGCTTCCAAATCAAGCCGAAGATCCCATTCTTTTTGAAATAATCAAGAAAAATATGATTCATGGGCCATGCGGTACTTTTAATCCTAATTCACCATGTATGCAAAACGGCAAATGCACAAAGCGATATCCACGTGAGTTGATTACTGAAACTCAAACTGGAGGTGATGGATATCCTCTGTATAGGCGAAGAAATCCCACTAATGGTGGATACACAACTACTATTAAGATGCGAAATGAAGATATCGACATAGACAATAGATGGATCGTGCCATACTCGCCACTACTTTCAAAAATGTTTAATGCTCACATCAATGTTGAGTATTGTAATTCGGTAAAGTCCATAAAATATATTTGTAAATATGCTAACAAAGGCAGTGACATGGCAGTATTCGGATTAGCAAATCGAGGTGATGAGATCACGCAATATAAAACAGGGCGCTACATCAGCAGTAACGAAGCAGTATGGCGGATATTTGCATTCAATATTCACGAACGATATCCAACGGTTCAACATCTCGCTGTTCATTTGGAAAATGGTCAGCGGGCTTACTTCACCGAAGAAAATGCGCAAAATAGAGCAGAGCAACCACAAAACACAACACTGACTGCTTTTTTCGAATTGTGTACATCCGAAAATTTTGCTAAAACGTTGCTGTATCAAGATGTGCTCAAATATCATACTTGGAACACATCGACAAAAAAGTTCAACAGAAGAAAAAGAGGTGCAATTGTTCTAGAGCACCCTGGTATATATTCGTCCGATGCATTGGGACTGGTGTACACTGTTCATCCAAATAACGCCGAGTGCTATTATTTGCGGTTGTTGCTGCATACAATCAAAGGGCCGACATCATTCCTTGCATTGAAAACCATCGACGGAGTAGAATGCCAAACGTACAGAGAAGCGTGCTTTAAACTGGGCTTACTTGAGAATGATCAGAATTGGAACACAACTCTGACCGAAGCATCACTCACGTGCCATCCAAAGCAAATACGAACTTTGTTTGCGATAATTTTAACAACATGCGCACCATCGAATCCTCGACAACTGTGGGAAATGCATCGTGAAAGCCTCAGTGAAGATATTCTAAGACAAGCACGTGCAAGCGATCCAAGTCAGGAATATTCGGATGACATTTTCAATGAAGCTTTAATATTAATGGAGGACTTATGCATGTCAATCAACAACAAAGCTCTTTGTCAACTCGGTATGCTAGCACCGACACGAGATAGAAATGCTGTACAAGACAGAGACTTGATGCGAGAACAGCAGTTTGATGCAAATCAGCTTGAACGATTTGTGCAAACGCAAAAAGAGTTTTTAGTTGCTGATCAGAATTTAGTTGCTGGCGGAATTATCTTCCTAGATGCTCCAGGAGGTACCGGGAAGACTTTCCTCATCAATTTAATATTGGCGTCAGTTCGAATGCGAAATGGAATTGCAGTAGCAGTAGCATCATCGGGGATTGCATCAACACTACTTGATGGAGGACGTACAGCGCATTCAGCACTTAAGCTTCCATTGAATTTGCACCAGACCGAAACACCTACATGCAACATCAGCAAAAACTCTGGTATGGCCATAGTGCTTAAAACGTGCAAAATTATAATTTGGGACGAATGCACCATGGCACCTAAGAAATCGCTCGAAGCACTTGACCGAACTCTGCGAGATTTTCGTGGAAAAGACCAACCGATGGGAGGCGCTCTTATACTCCTTGCAGGTGATTTTCGTCAAACATTACCCGTTATACCACGATCGACGCCTGCAAACGAGCTGAAAGCGTGCTTAAAGCCATCGCATCAGTGGAACTATGTCGAAAAAATTACGCTCACAACAAATATGAGAGTGCATTTGCTGCAAGATACGTCTGCCCAAATATTTTCAAAGCAACTTTTAGATATCGGAAACGGTAAAGTTCATATTGATCGCACAACAAATGAGATATCATTTCCGTCCAACTTTTGTCAAATGCAGCAGAGCATTCAAGACGTCATCGACTGAGTATTTCCGAACTTAACGATCAACTACCGAAATCCGGAATGGCTCCGCGAACGTGCAATTTTAGCTCCGAAGAACAGTAATGGACAAAGATCAAGCTGTTAATTACCCAACTGAATTTCTTAATTCTTTGGAGCCACCTGGAATGCCTCCTCATGATGTGATAATAAAAAAATTTACACCGAATTTGATCGAGGCAACAATCATCAGCGGTAAATTCAAAGGCGAAGATGTGCTGATTCCACGTATACCGATGATTTCCAACGATTTACCGTTCGAATTCAAGCGGCTTCAATTCCCTTTGCGTCTTGCCTTTGCTATAAAAAGCATAAGCTAAATAAAGCACAAGGGCAATCATTAACTATTGCGGGTTTGGATTTGAAAAATTCGTGCTTTTCACATGGCCAATTATACGTCGCCTGTTCACGAGTTGGGACACCACAAAATTTATATATTTACACACCAAATGAAAAAACTAAAAATATTGTTTATCCCTTAGCATTTGGGTAAATAAAAAGGTATTCAATTTCAAATCTCTAAATACATGTGTTTTTCTTTGGCGTAGCAACGCGCGCCGGGTATTGCTAGTTATTTATAAAACCGAGTATCAAACAAAATATCGCGGGTGAATTTGTGAAGAAAAGGGTAAAAATATTTAAATTGCTTTTGAACTTTATACAAAGCTGCAAACCGTTCGTTTTGTTTGTGTTCCACATTTGCGATTAATGTACAGCGAAGTGCACAAGTTGTGGTTGTTGAAGTGATTTATTTAAATCGAAGCAGTTGCTTAATACGAGTTTTTTCGGTGCACAATTTTTAGTTCATATCATTTCACTTTCGGTTTGATAGCCTTACTAATATTATAAATCCGAAAGTGAGTTTGTTTGTTTATTACGCTTTCACGTTTTAACTACTCAACCGATCATCATGCAATTTTGTACTCTGGGGTCATTTAGCCCAACTTAAAATATAGGATAGATTTAATGTCGATTGTAAAAGGGAGCGTGGCACCTTCTTTACAAACGGAATTTTTCATTCTGTATATCGCAGGAAATATTTGTGATAGATATATTAGGAAATGGATTTTAAGAGGCTTAAAAAATTGTAGTTTGAAAATATTTTGAAAAGGGTTGCCACCTGGTTGAAAAGTAAAATTTAAATTAATTATTCGCAAGCTATCTGAAAAATTAAAATATGGGTTTCAAAGCAAAGACTGTTAAGAAACCTTCAGATTGAACATTTAGATTATTGAGGTGTTTTACAAGAGTTGCCACCAGATCAAGAATTAAATTCCATTAATTTAAATTAATGACTGAAATATGGGTATCAAACGAAATGTTTTTAAAAAGGGTTTTAGCTCTAAACTGCATGATGGACGGTTGCCACCTGTTTGGAAAATCAAATTCTACTTGAATTAAGGGAATTAGGTAATTGGAATATGTATCACAGTATGGGTGTCAGACCAAATGGGTTTAACAAGGTTTTGGCTGGAATATGTTTTGGAGAGGGTTGCTACCTGTTTTTAAAGTCGAATTTTAACTAATTATACTAAAATTTAAGTGCCAAACGTAAGAGTGTTTAGAAATGTTCTGATTGAACATGTAGAATCTTCTGAGATATTTGAAGAGGGTTGCCACCTATTTAAAACTAAATTCAATTTCAATTATACTATAAGTTAAATGAGCTACTACAATATAGGTATTAGCCGAAAGTCTTGAAAATATTTATTTCTAAGCTACATAAGTATAGCAGTGTTTCCACATATTTGAAAATTCAAATTCAACTTGAATTATAGGAATTAGGTAATTTGAATGCATTTGAATGTATTACAATGTGAGTGTCAGACGAAAGAGGTTTAAAAAGGTTGCCAACTGTTCAGAAAGTTAAATTCAAACTATTCAATGAATTATAACAATAGGGGTATCAAACGAAATGGTTTTGAAAGGGCTTCATTTCTAAACTACATGAAGGGGGGTTGTCCCCTTTGTAATCTATATAAATTTGAGTACGGGGTATAAGTTAATTGAAAAAGTATCACAAGAGAGAGGTTTAGTTTGAAAATATTTTGAATATGGGTAAAAAAATTTGAAATCTCCTGTTTTTGGCATGGGTTATGTATGTTTATTGAAATTAATTACACTTAATGTAGCACTCAGAAATTTCGTGCACTCAGCAAAGCGGGTGATAGCGATCTAGTTTTATTATAACTCATTTCGTTCCATAGATTTAAACGCTTTTCTCAGCTTTGTGCTATTAAATTTCACTTGGTACGTTGTTGTTGGGGTTAAGTTAACCTTTGCATCTAAGTACTTATACAGCAGATTTTGCAGTAAACAATTTTAAATTCTTAGCATTTTCAATGTTTGATTTTGATTTTTGATATTTAATTATAATTCAACTCTCGTGTCATACATTACAGCCCATGGCCTTAGTTGAGTGATTTAAACAATTCACTTCATCTCTTTTTTGGTGTATCAAATATTTGAATGTGCATATAAGGCACGGTGCACATTAGTGCGATACGATATGCGATGCGATATGCGATACGATACGCGATACGATACGCGATGCGATATGAAATGCGCGCAGTGCACATTCGAGCGATGCGACACGCGATACCATTTTGCGATAGCTACACAAACTTTTGTGCCCTTATATGCTTGTTAATGAGTTAAATGAGTTGCTTCTCTACCGAGTATACCTTCCGAAAGATAGGTCTAAGTTTATATCTATAAACTTCTAAAAAAGTTGAGAGAAAAGAGTAAAACTGATGTTTATTTTTAGAAAGTCGACTAAAAATTAAATGAGATATTCGAATTTTCACGACAAATTATTTCAGAATATTGCGTTCACTACAAGGAGAAATCGGTGAAAGCTGAATTAAAAGAAAGGTTAAGCAAACATTTTTGAGTTGTATAGCCAAAAATATTCTTTTTCTTATGAAAGGTTGAATAACTTTTCCCCATTTCTTAAAGTAAAAATCACTATATATTAAATTCTAATTTTGCATCAATTCAGGAGTAGTAGTATAGTTGCTTTATAAAATAGTGCGTGAAAACTTTGCAAAAAAAGACGAAAAAAATGAACACAGAAAATATACACTAAAAAGTTTATATACCAATATCATTCGAAAGGTCTAAACTCGGTGTATAGTCAACTGAGTTACAAACTTATAAGTGCGGAAAACTGGGTTTTTAACTAAATCAATATTGTGTGGATGTGTGACAAAAATTTCGTATCTCGATTCTTACTTCACTCGGAAAAACCTACCTGGAAAATAACATGACCTACCGGGTATCTTTACTTCAATATTTTTTGTAGCATTGGGTTATAGAGCACACACATTTTTATTTTCTCTATTTAATTTAAAAACTTATATAATATAATAAAATAACACTCAAGAGAAAAAACATAAAAAAATATAACGAATAATCAAAAATAATTACCTACATACATACATCATTTTTTAGTATTTGTTATTATATCTAATTTCTTCTTTTAATGGTAAATGAGATGATTATTTCCTAATTGTTTCTAAGTGCATTGATTACTATTTATTTGAATATTTGAAACAAACTAGTTAATCATTAGCATTTAAACAAACATCAAATCTTTTTTGCTATTCAAAATCAAAAATAAATAGGTTTAAAATTATTGGATTCTTTAAATTTCTTTTTAAAGATGTGAAAACAAAGGCAAATAAACCATCACGAAAAATATTCTTTTGTGCATTTACCTGTGTCCTTGACCTCAGACGCTATATTTCTTCATGTCTGTTCTACAGTAGTTTTTTTTCGGCATGGTTCCATAAACATGTTTTTTTTATTAATTCGACTAAAAAAATTGTGGATGATGATTCCTCCTGTGAAAAGGCCATGCTTATTGCAAAAAATACCGCGCAATACTAATTTCACCTCGTTAAACAAACCGTGTTGCACATGCGATACGCATGCTATATTATATCGCAGATATATAACCGAGCTATCAATGGACAGTCATAAAAGTTCCCACTTCGACTTGACCTTTTAAATACGTACGTCAAAGAGAACATAGTATTTTTAACAATACTTTTTTTTTGTTTTCTGTGCTTTAAATACCTGCATTGTTTTCTTTCTTTATTATGACATAAAAGAAGAAAGTGTGCACTACATATATCCTTAAACCAAATCTTCGTGATTTGCTTTTGATGTTACATATATTCGTTTAAATCATTTCAAATAGGCAATTTATTTTTAGAAAAAATTTCAAAAACAATAATTTTGTCTACTTGTCGGGCAATATTTTTTATATCCATTGAATCCTTAGCTAAAAACTTATTTGGTAAAACTGTCCGCTACATATCCCTTCTTTGCTATTTAAATTCAAAGAGTAAGCTCCTTCAATTGCGATTTCCAGCAGAAATGTTAAATGGTTTGACCGACAACGAAAACACTTTGAAAATGAGTTTTGGGATTGTGGGCTGAAGGCTGTTCACACCGACTGTTAAAGGCCCTACACACGCATTGATTTATCGGCCAACCAGTTGACCAACCTACTTAACGAAATTCCCTACAAACGCACCAACCAGTTTGCCGAATTCATTTGAGTGACAGTTTTTGAACTGTGAACAACACATCAGCAGTGGTAAACTTTTAAGCTATGCTGAGAATGCTTCTTATTTTTATGTATTTGTTATTGCTACCGCCCCCGTTTTCACAAATTATACGCATTTTCACTAGCGAAACGAACCGAAATACACATGCTAGCATTAATGCGCATTTAAAAAAATGAAATCGCATTTTAGGTCGCCAACTTGTCTACACACAGGGCAACAAGTTGACCAACCTGCCTCAAATATCGAAAATTTTTAATTTTTCTCCAACCTGTCGAACAACTTGACGAAGGTTTGCCAACTTGCCTACACACGGCTTATTTACCACCAACTTCTAGCGGTTGGCCGATAAATCGATCCGTGTGTAGGGCCTTTAAGTGTTTTCGTTGACATTTCTTACATCTTGTGATTA